TGTTCATACTCTGCTTGTAAGATGAGGTATCTTCTACTTACCACTTTACAAAACCATTATGTTGTTACAAGGCTTTATACTGAAAAATTTGATAAATAGTAAAACGTAAATATAATCTCATTTGAAAAGTGAGAGGATAGTTACTGCCTGTCTTATAGTCAGATTTAGCAGATGCAGGTTTGAATGTAAAACAGTTGTGAAAATAGCCAGTGTCAAACTAGTGCAAAATTAAACTTGTGAGGTGTTCTGTTTTCAGTGTCTGTCATTGTTGAAATACTCCATTTGAAAAGCATGCATTCCTTTCTACAGAAAAAAAAAGTCAGATTCCTTAGTTGAAATTAATTAGCATTCAGAAACCAGATAGCATGTTTTTGGGTATTCATGAGATCTCTGTTTGAAAAAATGTTTTTAACTTGTAGAAATGTGTTGCAACACACAGATGGGAAGAAAAAGAAAAAAAAATCTCTTTAGCAAGCACTGTGTGTAAAAGGAATATTACATTTTGCACGCTCCTGATTACCCTGTGTAAACAGTTTTTGACATCTGTCTTTATAGTTTTCGAGGAGAGGAAGACTTTGTTAAAAGAACCATTTTTATACAGCAGTCACCATTTCAGTCTTGCTTTACCTGTATTATGAAAGCAGATGGTCTGCATGTCTTTTGAATATTTATAACTATCAAAAACAATCTCTTGCTATTCACCCTTAGGCTTATGAGATGTCAGGACTGTTCTGGTTGAAAAAAAATCATCTTGGGTGTTTACAGAAAGGGGATTACATTAAGCTGAAATGACTATACATTTTCCAGTTTAATATTTGTCCATCAGCTGTTTAATCGTATTTAGATAATTGTGTAAATAAGTTGTTGCAGCCCTTGCCCCTTCTACTGAGCAGGCTTGAAGCTTTAAACACCAATGAATGAGTTGCTAAAAAGCTCAGATTTTGTTTTCCTAGTTAAACTACCTGGAAGGCCTAAATAAGTTTTGGTTACAGTGCTTGTTTTGAGAAAAATGTTTAAATTGCAAAGGGATCCCTGATATCTAATTCAGCTGAGTTGTTCTAGGAAGCTGCTGTGTCTGTTACTCTCTCCTAAGTCTGTTAGCATATATTTGCTCTTTGTAAATACTGCAGCCCAAGTACCCCTTCATGAGGCATGAAAACAACCTTATTCTGCCCATATAAAAATAATTTTAAGGTTATTTAGTGGAAGTTTTGGGACTGTGGGGGTTAAAAGCTTTTTTGACTGGAAGCTGAGCAATCACTGATAACAGATTTTGCTGTGGTTGGTTGATTTGGCAGAAAAGCATGAACAGTTTTGGTTTAGATGATTGAATTAACCTGATTAACATTGTTTTTGTTGTTTTGCAAAAAGGACAACAGTATACTTTTAGTGATGATCGAGCAACACTTCACCTGGTTGAAGAGCAGTGTTAGAGGCAATGACTCAGAAATGCCTCCCTTGAAGCACCTGCAGCAGTGGCTGCAGCAATGAGCCGGCATGAAAGGCTCGGGTCCTTCCCATATCTTGCAGGATGCACCTTGCGTTTGATTCTGGCACAAAACAAAAGGTGTCTGATGCTACCATTTTATTGGGTTTCGTTTGATGGGCATATGAAACGATTCCTGCTTGAGATTTATGATATTTCCCCAGGGAGTTCCCCAACTTCTTTGAGAAAAAGATGGTGTCTGGTATTTAATCTCTGGTATTTAATCTTCCAGAGAAAATGGGATTTGGTTCAATCTACGCTGGGTGAACCTCAGCTGAACCTCAGAACAAATTCTACCCCTACCTTCACACAGTTGTTGGATGCCTAATTATAATTAACTTATTTGGCTAAAAAAAGAGCACTTGGGCTGCAGCAGATGGTATCATTCCAGAATAGTGGGATTTCTGTGAAGGTGGCACCATTTCAGATGAGATCTCCCGATTCTCAGAACATGACTGACTGCAAGTGATGTGGTTGGGGGGAGGGAGATATGGGAGAGGGAAAAGAGGGAAATTTGAGATCTTGAAGGCTCACAACTTACTTTTGTGGAAAAACTACAAGGAGATAAGTTAAGATTGCGTGTCTGTGACCAGTTTCTGCATTCTCTCAATTTTCTTTGCAACATATGAAAAAGAAATCTGATTATGAATGATGCATGTGATGCATTTGAATATTTGTATGATATATTTATATTCGTCATCCTTGTATGGAGAGGGCATCTGCGTCTGTGCCTCACAGATAAGGAGGATATGTGCAGTAGTACCAGAATATGATGTGCTTCAAATACAATAATTTTGATTTTGATTATTGATAATTCAAGACATGGGGAACTCCTCGTTGGTAATGACCCAGGTAATGTGAAAAGCATCAATATGCCTTCAATCTAGATAGTGAATCTCTGAAGACCACTATCTCATGGGGTTAATCTTAAGTTTTAGGCCATAAACATACCAGACAGTTATATATTTATTATTATATTTATTATAATACCAATATTATATATTGGTATTAAAATGTACAAGAATTCTATAGCAACAGGAAATTTCTATAGCCAAGTGCATCTCTCTGCACTGATGTGACTGCACATTTAATGACAATAAATAAAGAATAGAAACAATGAATTTCAGTGTTGTCAAGATATTTTCTGAGTTAACAAGGTAATAATATTTTATCTGGCTTGTAAAATCTTGCCTTCAGTGAATTAGTAAATAAATCATTGATTCCTCCTGATGAGGATTCTTAGCGTAGGTAATATCACTTGAATGTTTGCATGAAGTGTTCTCAAAGAAAATGCAGGATAATTTTCATTTTTAAATGTGTTTATAATGTCTGTCTTTTTTTTTTTTTTTAATCCACTTTGAAGAGCAGGAGTGCCATCACAGTGTTAGCCATCAAAGTTTGAAATTCACATTGTGTCAGAGAAACTAAAACTCCCAGCAGTGTTCCTTAAACAGACCAGTCCCAGTTATTTGGTTGTAAAGTAACTGCATTAAATTTATTCCTGAAGAAGGAGGGGATGTGTTGCAAACTGCCATGTCATTTCTGTATTGTTTTTGTAAAATTCCATGGGAGGGAGCACTAGGAAATCTTAGACAAACATCTTCAATAATAGGTAATTTACTAAAATTAATATACGTATTTTCATACTTTAAGTTAGTTGGGCAGGAGAACAAATCTGAAAGGGGCAAAGTAAAATAAGAGAAACCCACCTTGAAGTTTAAATGACATCTGCAAAATACGCATGAGCTGATGTGGGATGATGGCCTCTGACAGGTGCAGTTCCCCATTTTGCACATACAGATCTGCAGTTTCTGCAGTAGTCTGTGCAGTCATATAATTTGCCAGCTCAGATCCACAGGACTTTTAAAATCACGCCTTATATATCATGTGCCCATGTTTAAGATGGCTCAATCTATAAAAGAGCTTAAAAGATAATTTTGTACATATTAAACCTTAAGTATACTGCTCTTAAACTGGAAATTGCAATTGGGATCAGCTGAGCTTGGTTCTGGCCTTTCAGGCTGGGCTATTAAAATTTCACTCTCCTTTTATACCACTAACAAAAGGCTTCTAGGTAGTTTCAGAAATGACAGATTAGTATCAAGAAATGGCAAGAATTTTGGTGATTCGGAGAAACATTAAAATATGTGCCTGGTGAGTAGGGGATATCCACATTTGGCATAAATAATGCTGCCTCCCTCTAGCAGTTCTGAGCCTCCACGAACAGCTTGCTACTGAGCAGTGCCTTAGAAAATGGTTATAATGAACTTCACTAAGATCAGTAAGGAAGGTACTTTTAGTCAGAAATTGAACAGGCTTTTAAAAGAAGAACTTAAAGTAACATTTTTTGCATTTCTACTCCAGGCTCTTCCTTCCAGTGGCTATTGTAGTTGGCCTAACAAAGGGTTGATGCTCTAAATGATTCTTCAGACAGCACAAATATGTCTAAATGTTACATGCTGAATAGTGAAAAAATGTAATAATCAAGGCTTTGTCTTCTTGACTGTCATTGCTGTTTTGATACACTGGACAATTCTTGTAGTTAAGCCAAAAGTAACTACTTTCCACACAGAAATTTAAAGGGTGGCAAAGTTCAGTCTGTTGAAAGTCTATTTGCTAATTTTGTTGTTCATACATCATATACTGAGTATAATTTCAAGTTGGAGCATTATCTCATTTTGCAAGGCTTGGTCTTAATTGATTTGTAAAAGAATGTACTGGAACTGAAAGTTTTATGCATTGTAAATTCCACTATTTTAAAATTGGTCAAAACTGAGCAGAAGGTAAATTTCTCACTGTAGCTATCTGATATCTCGAGAACCTTTGAGAAAAGAATCATCTTGATCTTCCTTTGGTCTATTTTACAGCTAATACTCAGTTACAGAATTAGACATGACAATAAGCTTTTCATAAGCCTGTTTTTGCAAATCCCTTAAAATACCCTGTTTTAGGAAAAACAGGAGTTCATCTTGGGTTATTAGATATATATTTTATTCTACTATAAATCCCATATTTTATCCTATTCATAGGTCATTCAGATAAAGTTTTATCCTATGATTTTTTTGGTGTCGACTCTGTGATAAGTGGCACAGAGGAACTGGACATGGGTAACTTGGGTCACTGCTTGCATTTGTAAAGGCAGTGTAGGAATTGTATGCCTGTGTGGGTGTGTGAAGGGTCAATTAAATTTAAAAGCAGAAATAGGATGAACAAAATTCACTTTCAAGATTAGCATCTTCTTTCTAGCGCTCATCCCATTGCATGATGTTTCTTGTTCGATAACTTTGTTCTTCCCTTAGTACATCTGCTATTTTTGCTCCCATTTACAATATACCTTGGTTTATTTTCATGCTCAATTAATGAGTTTTTTAAAAGGCTTTGGATGATGGGATTTTAAATGCAACATGGTTCTCAAACTTTAAAAATATATTGGCTCAACAATTGAAATAATTTGTGCTTTGACTTGTACTGCTCTATATTACAGATTTTTTTTTCTTCTCCCCTTTTCACACAGAGTATGATTTCTTCCATTGTGAACAGCACTTACTATGCAAATGTCTCAGCAGCAAAATGTCAGGAATTTGGAAGGTGGTATAAACATTTCAAGAAGGCAAAAGATATGATGGGTAAGCAAAAAAAAAAAATTGCCTTGATGGTGGTTACATACCATTATGTGTCACATTGAGGTCTGTCACAGTCATATAAGAAGCCAGTTCCCTTCACGATAAGTTTAGGATGCTTTTGATGAGTAGATGTAGAAAGTACATATATAGTGAAAGAATTCATTTAAATAAATATTTGCTATTGAAACAGCCAAGCTGACTTGGGTTGCCAGAGATGTAAAGCTGTCATTCTGCAAATCTAGAGATCTTCTACCACCCAGAATAATTGTTTAGAAAACCTGTTCCTGGAACTGTGACGAACTGATTTTTTAATGTATGTATTTTTTTTTCTCGTGCTGGCTAATGTATATTTAAAGAAACAGGCTTCTACAGCTATCACTACCTTCCAGCCAGAATGCTGTAATTTTACAAATTCATATCTTTCTCTAACCTTGGGACCCTAATTTCAATTAATTTTAACAAACAGTGGTTGTGACAATTGTTTGCTTGTTGTAAGCACAAGTAAATTATTGGAGAAAAAAAATCTGTCAGTTCTGTGATACCTTTTATCTTTCTTAAACCTGTTCACATAATTTTGAACTCCATGTCAGAAAATTTCTACATAGATTTCAACAGAATGGAGAAATAGGACCTCAATATGGATTGAATTTTGAGCTTGACTTAGCTTTCAGTATTTGAGGCAAAATCATTCATCTACCCAAACGGGTTCCTTGCCTTTTATAGCTTAAGGCTGTAATGAAGACAATGCATCACTTTTGTGATAATTGCTTGAATTACTGTTCCGAGTGAATGGCCCACTTGGGTTGATCGCTACTTTCCCTGAGTGAAAAAAGGCAGCTTCTTTCCTTAATCTGCTTTGTACCTCCTGTGCAACATGGAACCCTTCTTCTGAGACCACCAAATTTAGTGGGAAGACTTCACTTGGTTTCAGGTGGTCCATGTGTGAGGCAGCAGAGTGGCCATATGGGCAGAATGACCTTTCCACAGCAGCCTCTCCCACATCCTTTGTAGTGGTGCTCATGTATGGGGCAACTCCCGCAAAATTTTATTTATGCACTCTGCCAAGACGGATTCATCTTCCATTCACTCGGAGTCAGTGAAGCCAGCAAATAGAAAATGTGTGTTTGTGTATTTTTGTGTAAAATGATACTGGCAGAAGAGGCAGCGGCATTGCCTCCAAAGCCACCTGTGTGAGGGGCAGGAGAGCCTCTGCTTGGGTATTGATCCAGGCTATGGACACCAGAAATCTCTGCAGAACAACTGGCTTGCTTTTTATTTATCAAGTTTCTGCCTGTGATAAGACAAGGGAGGAAGATGGGGATGCAGGTGGGAATCCGAGTGCCGATTTCTTCATCCTGATCTGATACTTGTGGAGGAAAGGGTGGCCTTGCACTGATGACTGTTAGTGAAGATCATAACTACTGTGACAAGCTCAGACACTGCCTTGAAAAAAAAAAAAGTCTTACTAGGATAAGAAAAAAATTGGTACAACACTTTTGTGAAAATACTGGACTTTTGGTTTTTAAATAAAGCTTATTTGCTTAAGGCTATTCTTAGACCAGAGCTGCTAAAGCTCTAGAATAAAAAAAGTTACAAATGCTGATAAAAAGGAGACTCCTTCATATCAAACTTGAGTTATTTTATATTGTTTAATCATGCACAAGAGGGGAACTGGAAGAACTCTTGTAGTTTAAAAAACTGTGCTGTTGTTTAAAAAGGAGGGTGTGTCAAAGACAGATGAGTTAATATAAGAAAAAATTCAACCATGTTGCAAGTCACTGAAAAAAACCATGCATACATGGTTGCAAGATAAAGCAGCCCATCTGTGTAATTTACATAAATTATACTAGTTCCTAGCAGTCCCATACAATTGATGCAGCATCTAGAAATTAGCAGAGCATAGGGAGGTCTGCACCTCACCCTACTTATTACAGATTTCCAGTTGCTGGGAACTGCAGATGTCATGGCAGGGACCTCATGGGAGGAGCAAAACCAGTCACCAGGGGCTTCTGTCTCTCTGGCTGGGACATGTTTTCCCACAAAAGCCCTCCTTACCCTTTGCACAGATGCACTTGCTGTTTCACCTGCATTACCTTCAGCACAGAGTGGGTTTTTGTCTCTTGTCTTTGCCCCGTCTCTAGTTGTTTAGTGCTTTGTCTGAAGTCCCCTGCATCTGTCACAGTGGAATGCAGCAGCCCTGCTCATGGTTGGGTTGCATTGCACCATTTTACATTTGTTTATTTTTATTAGCATGTCTTGTGAGGACAGTCAAGGTTGTGATTTTCAGTCTGATGTTGGCCTTTTCAATGTTTCTTTTCTGCTGTAGTTGAGATGGATAGCCTTTCTGAACTATCCCAGCAAGGTGCCAACCATGTCAACTTCGGTCAGCAGCCAGTCCCAGGGAACACAGCCGAACAGCCTCCATCTCCTGTTCAGCTTTCTCATGGTAGTCAACCATCAGTTCGGACCCCGCTTCCAAACCTGCACCCTGGACTTGTATCTACTCCCATTAGCCCTCAGCTGGTAAATCAGCAGCTGGTAATGGCCCAGTTGCTGAACCAGCAGTATGCAGTGAACAGACTTCTAGCCCAGCAGTCCTTAAACCAACAGTACTTGAACCACCCTCCTCCTGTCAGTAGATCCATGAACAAGCCGTTGGAGCAGCAGGTCTCAACGAACACAGAGGTGTCTTCCGAAATCTACCAGTGGGTCCGTGATGAATTGAAACGAGCAGGAATCTCACAGGCAGTATTTGCACGCGTGGCTTTTAACCGAACTCAGGTCAGTCGTCTTTTTTCTTAAAGTCTTTTTTTTTAAAGTCTAAGAGTCTCTTTTCTCTCTCTCTCTCTCTCTAATTAGTAATTGCCATCTTCTAAGTCTATCTTCTCATTTCTACCTTGTCTCTTAGCTCCTCTGAAGGAGCCATGCTTTCTTGCAGGATCACTATCCGTGTTGGTAACAGTACTGAAATCGTCAGCGACTGGTTTATGGAAATATCCACAGTTCTTACAGGAAGCATGGTTCCTCTCCAGTTGTGATGGTTTATGAATAGCTGAACTTCCCAATAAAGGAAATGAACAGCTCTATGCAGAGCCATTCACAAAGTCACCAACAGATTGCCTTTTGTGTTGTAGAGTTGTACCCACTCTGACCACCTGCATGCACTGAACAACCTGGCTTCTTTCACAGGTGTACTGGAGATGGTCTTTTATCTATACTTGCATTTATTTTTATTATTTCTCAGTGAAAGTCCTAATAGCATCTTTTTAGACTTCTGAAGAGATTTAAAATTAAAAGCTTTATCTCTAGATCATCTACTCTCTTCATGTATTTTTGTAGTTTGTTGCAAAAACAGTAGTTGCTGAGCTTGCCGGTGTCCATGTCAGAACATATACTTCAGCTCTTCAATGCAGAAAAAGCCAGCCCTAGCAAAGCTGATAAGTAACACTAAAATGTGTTATTTTTTACACCTGTTTTAGAAGCTAACCCTGTTATAATTTATTCTGCTCTATGAATTTAACTTAATGCCATGTTGCATGGAATTTAATCAAGCAGAAATTATAGAAGAAATGTCAGTATATTGGATGCAAATAATAAGATCTCAAAATTTTAGAAGTATGTTATAACACAAAATAAAATATTTTTAATAGGACATTGTAAAATGGGAAATATTTTAAAAAGATGTAGGTAAATTTGCTTTAGGTTCCCTATTTTTAAATGAAAACACATACTTAGGGAACAATTTGCCTATTGTAGATTATAGTATAACAAAAAATATTATCATTTGAGCTTCTCTTGAAACATTTTTGTTTCTCCCTGCATAGCTTAGAGAATAAAAATTCTGTTTCATATGCTCTTGTGCAGGTTTGAATCAGCATGTCATTTATAATTGTTCTGAATTACTATTGCCTTACAATATTTTACATACTCCTTTAGCTAAAAGTAAGTAGAGTCATTGTGTGAATTCTCTGTAGGAATCTGTGTGTGTGTGTGTCTTTCCTCTTTACAACAGAGGAGGGTTTCAAGATCTGGGCCTTGCATACCAAATTTCATTGCTTACGTGAACTCATGCAAGCATTATTTACATTACGTTAGGTCCAGGCAGTGATAGTTGTTATATTTACAGATAAGTGAGTCTTGTTTCATAGAGTGTTTAAAAATTTAATTGTTAGTACTCTAAGGTATTAAAGCAATAGTAGTAGCTTTATGTTACAGTGGTTTGCAGCTGCCATCTTACCTGGACAAAAAAGCCAAGCAAGTAATTCAGAAAATTAAGTTTATTTTATATTTACTTCTTTCTCATGTTTGCCTAAAATCACATTGTTTTATTTAAACTTTCCCCCCTCTGAAGTGGTCAGTTTTTGTCAGCTAGTTTTGCATGCAGCTTTTGGCAATTCCTTTGTGCATAAGCAGTACTTGTTACCTGAAATACAAGGATGATTGGTTCTGCTGGACATAGAATTTGTATGACAGAGTAGGAGAAAATGCTCTTTCGATGTGATAAATGCAACTATAGAAAAAGATTTCTAGTGCAAATACTGATTCTTTACTTTAATATTAGTATTATTACACTAAATATATATTAAAATATGTATTGCTATGTATTTTTCTTACTACAAATGTTATTAAATATTTGTTTAAAGTTCAGTTCTTCTCCAGACTTTGTGGTTTACCAGCTTGGTAAGATGTGTTGAGAGTGACCCAGAACTGGGAGGAAACCCCAAAATGAACATTGAAAACAATTCTCCTAAAGTGATACCAAAAACATCTATATATTTCGGCAATTTTCAATCAAATCTATTTGAAAGAACACAGAGTAGTATTCCTACATCCTACAAATTGTTTTTGCTAATCAAGTTAGTATTCACAGTTAGCTAGGAAAGATTTTGCAATATTTGTTATGTTTTGTGGCAAACATAAGGAGAAAAAGGAAAAATACTAGGAGCCTAGAGAGTGTCAACATCAGTTTTGCCAAGAAATATCTCAGCATACTTTTTATATGAAGCAAAGCCCCACTGAAATACAGAAGAGTTTGTTGCGGGTGCATTTCACCTTTACAAACCTGGAAATTGTTAATTTTACCCATAGTGACAGATAATATCCAATGGTAAACAGTGGTACCAGCAATTTTTACATGAAACATTTAAATAGTTTTTCTGCTTGCTGTATTTCTGAATTCTTCACAGCTTATTCAAGGATACATCACATTGAGCTAAAATTAGGATAGTACTTTAATAACTGATGCAGTTGAGGAGTTATTTTCTAATAGTGATGTAATATCCTAAGTTTTGGGGCTTTTTTGCTAGAAAATGCTTGTTTAAATTCATGCTCTGTTTTCTGAGATAGAAAGCTAACTCAGGCTTACCAGTGACATTTTTGAAACTGTCATAAGCATATTTGAGCCGTGTCCAGGGACCATATCATGCCATCAGTTTCTAAAGGCGTAAGAACTCGCTGAAATTGGTTCGGAGTTCTGTGCAAGAAAACCCTGGTGTCAAGATACAGTCTCAGATGAGGAGAGAGATTTGCTTTCAGTGTAAAAGTTAAGGAAGGAAGCAATCTATAAATTAAGAGTTATTTAGCTTAATGTTTAGGCAATAAAATGGACTTCGAAATTGGCTGATGATGCTTTTGTTTTTCAGACTTAATGCTCTACAATATGAATACAGAATTTTGTGATGGTTTTTGGGTGGGAAGTTTCTCCCAGTATAGTGTGGTAATTCAACACTTGGTCCTAATTTTCAAGGTATTTTAATTTGGCTACAAAAATGTCAACTAGAAATATTTTCTATCTTTCCACAATCCAAGAATTTGGCAAAGATATTTCTGAGAACTAGAGAGTCTTTTTTTTTTACTATTACTAATTATCTATAAAGCTGAAAAAAAACCCCTTAGCTACACCTTAGAAGCGAGTCTTTAAGAAAAAATGTGACTTTAATGTGTTCTTGAATAATTTCTCCCCCATCCTTAAGTTCCAATTGGTAATTTCAAAACTAAATTCTCAGGAATGTGCTTTGTAAACTTTAATCAAGGTCCAGATACCTATAACTTGAATGAAACTTTCACATCTATACAGGCACAATAGGACAACTGTTGCAGGGAGCAGAAGAAGTTTTGGCAGAAGGAATTTCTCTCTGGTCCATCTAGGAAGCCTTCAGAGTACAGTAGGATCTGAAGTTTAGCTTGTCCTTCAGCAGTTGTGATTCCAACTGACTGGATGCAAAGAAACAGGTTGAATCCTGTTAGCACCTCCTTTCAGCGCACCGCGGAAAACTGTATTGAGTTAGTACTTGTGCTGGCAGATCTGAGTTTCACCTCAAGCAAGGTGTCCAAAGGTCTCCAGTCTGCCAGGATAATTTTGGTAAATTGAGATGCTTATGTTTCAGTTGCCAGTTCATCAAAATAATAAACATAGTATTTTGTTTTAGCTGATGTCAGTGCACTGTGCAGATACCTCTACTGTGCTGAAAGAGCAAGTTCCATATTTTCTTGTGCTTTGCAGGCTAGAAAATGGTATTTGTGATCAGTTTGCTACCCTGGGTAGCCCAGAGCAACCAGGGTGACAGTGAAAGATGCATTGGGGTAACCCCCCCCCACCTAAAGTGTGGTGCCACAGGCCCCTGTCAGCAGAGAAGCTCTGCCTACTGTTTCAAATATTAAGTTAAAGTGGGAATTTAAACTCTGCTCTGTTGTGTTCTTAAAGCTGGAGTGCAACATTAACATTTGTTGGGCTGAACTGCCCTCAGAGCCCTAAACAAACAAATCAACTCCTCTCCCATTTGTGTTGTGTGTTTCTAAATGTTAACATGAGTCAGGAAGCGAAAGGTTTGAGTTCCCACAGTCTGACATTTGACTGCAAGGTGCAGTTTAGCCTGTTGCATGGCAGGGTGACGAGCCCGCACTGTGCGAGCAAGGAATTATGTTAGTCATGGTTGTGGCTGGAACTGGAACTGGGGGCTGCCTCTCTCTGTTTGTGTACACTTTCAGCTGAAAGGTTTGCTGCAGGGACTTGGGTGCTATTATACAGAGGTGACCTCATGGCCCTGTCTTTATGAAAGAAGGAAGAGTGCTTTTTGCTGCTTTTCCGTGTCTGAATTTTGATACTTTTCTTTTTCCCACTTTTCCTTCCCTTTTTCGGAAGGTTTTTGAATATTTCTCAGCATTTTCACTTTTCTCTCTCCCTTCTTTCTACTTGAGCCCCATGCTTGTTTAAAATATTAGCTGCCAGGACGTACTGCCTTACATTCATGTATAATGCCTTTTCTCATATGTGAAAACTTCTGTGTATTTAGGACTGTGCTCATGCTAATTCTGGGCAAATGCTATTTCAGAGGAGAATGCTTGGATGCACTAAATGGCTCTGTGTAATTGTAAAACAAAATCTAAGTTTACACAATCCACCTTCTCAGGCACTACTTTTTTTTTCTCCTTCCACTTTGTCTTTGGCACACTTTATTTTCCAGTAAAATGAAAAATGAAGATGGATTATTCAAAATTGATAACAGTAATGGACCATCATGTAATGTTTTATTGAATTTGAGTTCTGTAAATTATGTGGTGGAGAGAAATTTGCCTGCTTAAGTATAACAGAAATTGCCACTGTATTCATATAATTCTTCATAGTGTAATTTAAGAAAAAGTACACTATCCATATCACTATTGAATAAAAGGTAAAAAGGTGCTATTACACTATCATGACAGCTCTCCTCTTGCTACTAAGCGACATAGATAAATGTGTCTGCTTATAACTTACTTGGCTAGGGTCCAGGTTTGGGAGTGGAGTTTGGGAATAATCTTCCACCTGGACATGGGATAGGAGGGCCCTGCAACCAAAGGGATAGTGTTCAGGGGTGTTCTGCATGTTTTGGGAAGGTTTGGGCAAATTGCATGTTTCTTCTGGAAGCTTTGAAGTTCTATCAAACTGATAAAAATCTATTTGAATCAGTGATTATGTTCAAGGAGGAGACAAACTGGGGGCCAGACAGGCAGTGTTTTTGTTCATATTGGCAGACACTTTAATTTATCTCCATTTTTAAAGAATTTGTAATGAGCTTTTGAAAGCCTTGATAATATTTATTGAACATTTTTGTGCCATTAGTAATGAATTATACTTGTGATGACATGTAAACTTTCTTTTTTTTTTTTTCCAATGGAACCTGGGAATATTTTAAAAAAATACATTTCCATTGCAAAGAGAATACAAGGGAGGAACAGTGATGAGGGCTCTGAGCCTAACAGTGTTTATAATCTCTTTGCAAAACAAGCTTAGTTTTTATGCAATTTGAGGTACAGTATCAGGAGATCACACCAAGACTAGTATCTTGGAAAACCAGTTCAAGCCTGGTAAAATGGACAGTTAATCTGTGCACATCAGCATAGGCCAGAATGTGAGAGTCAATATTTTCTTTCTAGGATTTTTCCCATTGTACACCTTGTCTTAACAACTTTTAGCTAAAGTTTTGTGCTCAAAAATTGAAGTAGTAGCAATGAAATAATATGTGAAGCAGGTAAACTGTGTTCTAAGTCTGCCTGCACCTGGTGCTACATCTTCATTTTCATGGATTTTTCTAACATATACTGACCTTTAGGTTTAGAGCCTAGAAGCAAACTCCTCCTGCCTTCTCCATGCTCTGTCATCTCCCCTCCTCTCCCTGCAATGCTGTTCTCTGCTCTGCTCCCAGGTCAAAGAGTCATGACAGTGATTGGGGAAGAGAGGAGAATGAATACTTAGTGGCATTACTAATCACCAAGAAATGTCTCACAGCAGTGGACATGCAGGCAAATGTTAAAAAAAAAAGAGAAGATCAACAGCATTTTCTTTGTTTACTTATTTCACTGAAGAGGGAAAAGTTATACAAGAAAACCAGCCTTTTCTAACTTTTTTAGCTGCCCACTATGTGGCTAAGGCTTATACAAGCAAATATTTTCTATTATGGGCTAAAGTATTTTTTAAGGTAATTTCCTGTAGCTGACAGTGGGGTGGCTTTTTGTAAGGAGTCTTCTCTCCTGACAATGATCAGTCCACTTGAGTTTCATTTTTATTGCTCATTTTTTCATGGAGAGGTGTCTCCAGCACAGAAACAGTCAGAAATCACACATGTTTACAACTACCTATAAGGACATCAATGATGTGGACTTTGTTGTCTTCTGCCAAGTAACAACAGGGTGAGAGAGAAGGTTCTCAGGTAATGTCAGGGGATGTTTAGATTGGATATCAGGAAGAATTTCTTCTCCAAAAATGTTGTCCAGCACTGGAACAGGCAGACAGGGAAGTGGTGGAATAACCATCCCTGGAGGTATCTGAAAGACATATAAATGTGGTACTTGAGGACATGGTTTACTGGTGGGCTTGGCAGTGCATGGTTAGTGGCAGGACACAATGATCTTAAAGGTTCCCTCCAACATAATTTTTTCTATTATGTTCTCTATATCCTGTGCTCTGCAGACAGCTTTCCTTGTCTCTAGTAGAACAAAATCATTTTGTACCTCCTCTTGAGGTGGATTGTGTAACCCTACTACTAACAAACACTGGTAACTGTGGATTTGAATACTTAAAAGTAGAAAAAACGATGGACACAAATTTATTTTCCATGTTTGCTAATAAATAAATTTATTATTAGACTAACCATTAAGAAAAAAATTTAAAACATGACCCAAATGCCACTTCTTCAGTAACTTGTTTATTTACCTTCTGGGAAATTTCTGCCTGGATACCAGAAAACAGGAGGGATCATGAAAAGTGGTAAGAAAGAATCCCCCAAGATTATTTTTTTTCTATCCTCCTCCTCTGAAATATTTTTCATGCTTAATGCTGGAAAGATTGTTGGGTTTTTTCCATCCTGTTTCCCTGTTACACATGCAGGTACAGACAGGGCCATGAGGACCACACTGGCTGAGGTGTGGTCGTTGGTACCTCTGTCCTCATCGCCCAGCAGGGAAGTGCAGAGCTCACACCCACACTGGGTGGGCTCTGGTCCTGCCTAAGCACAGCTGCTTGAGAGCAGTGGCTTTGCAGCAGCACCTCCCTAAGGGTCTTTTGCCTGATAGGATAAGACCTGTGAGAGACATGACAACTTCCACAGGTGATGCAGGCATCAGACCTCCCAAAAAGATTCCCTTGGCCATATCATTCTCTTGTACCCCCTTAGGAATATATATATTCAGTCAGTATTACCTATCTTAGTTTTAGCTTTTTATTGTTTGCTTCCCTCTCTCTATTTACTCCTCCATTATCCTGAATAACTTACAAAAGTTCTTTAGGAAAAGAAACGTTGGGTTATCTTATTCCTTGAAATTCATGTGTGTGTTCCCTTGTTACGCTATAAGTAAAAGCCTCCCATGCCAATCCTCTCTCTTTCCCAGCACAGCAACAATATTTATTCTGAATAGTAGTTCACATCTGCTTTTCCAAAAGTTACCTTTCTTATCACCATCTTGTTACTCCAGGACAGCAGAGCATTTTGAATGCCTGAGATATTTAAAAGGAGAATCTGGCAGGGAGAGGAGATGTCAAAAACCTGTTGACACTAAATATAAATATCCCAGGGAAGGGACTGTTTGAGGATTAGGGTTGTCCTGATGAAGAGAGAGGAAGGTGCAAGAAGAAGGTGGAACATGAGGCATCCAATGAGTTTCCTCACTTGTTAAACTCCAATATACAACTCTTAGAAAGAAATACTGACTTATAAAAAACATGGCCCTGAGTCAGTGAAGCAGTACATTAGAAACATTGCAAGTTTATAGTCTCAGATTAGTTGTGAAATATCACATCCTTTCAAAGATCTATTTAAGTTGCTAGAAATGTGGAAAGCCTTTTTAAGGTTGAGTATGCATTTTGCCTGTGAAGCCTGAGAACCCCCCAGTGTATCTCACTTATCCTTAACATCTTGTGATTATCTGTGGACTGTGAAAAATATCATGGCAAGTTAAGCCAGTAAAAGGAGGAAGACCTATTAGGAAGATTCAGTTTATGTTGTATTTAAAACAGGTGCTTAATAAAATTAAGGGTACAATTGAGGCTCTCTTCTCTGCTACCTAAAATGCCATTAATATAATCCTATGTAGAGCGAACTGTGCATTTGCTGTTCTCATTCCCAGCCCAGTGGCAAGAAAAATGAGGACTCATAAGCAGCGGCTTTGCAGAGCATGGTTTTACAGACACTCACCTAGGCTAACTCTCGAGCCTATGTTTTCTGCCTTCCCTACAGGGCTTGCTCTCAGAAATCCTCCGAAAAGAAGAGGATCCCAAGACTGCCTCTCAGTCCTTGCTGGTAAACCTTCGGGCTATGCAGAACTTCTTGCAGCTGCCAGAAGCAGAACGAGATCGAATTTACCAGGACGAAAGGGAAAGGAGCTTGAATGCAGCGTCTGCCATGGGCCCAGCGCCTCTCATCAGCACACCGCCCAGCCGGCCTCCACAAGTAAACTGCTCTCTCTGCCTCTGGGGTTTGCTTCTTGTGCTCTTTCACTGTCCTCCTGGGTGAGACCTTTCTGAAAAAGAAGAAACTTTTTGCTGTCGCACTTTTTAAACACTTGTAGAATCATTACTTGCAGTGCGTATTGCAAATTAAATTTAAGAAATATAATGGATGATAGTAGCACTTTATTACTACCTATTTTCTAATTTTAAGATAAATTCTGTCCATTATGGTTCCTACAGAATTTTTTGCTCATTTTATTGAGGTACAAACTTTACTGGGCATGGAAGATGATAGCTTTTAGCTGTCATCTTTTCTTACAATTCTTAGGTTCTTAACGTTATAGCTTCAGATAGGGATTTTGAAGGATTTGGACCATTAAACTGAGAGGGAATGAAAGCAGAAGTGTGAGTACCTTCTAGTGCCTTAAAAATTATTTTTCCAGAAAGCAAACAGGTAAAACTAAAGTGATGGGGGAAAGAAGATCCCGTCCCAAAATGCTGGGCATGCTTTTACCATCTTGAGCTACTGACGACTGCTTAAAATAACAGCTTGCTATATCCATTGCTCTGAATGATTTGGATATGTTCATTAAAGCTTCATGTAGTATCTGTTAAAATGAAACTCCTATTGATTTCTCTAAAATTTATTTGATTTACTTCTTCAAAAGTTTGATAGAGCGGGATCAAGAGATTCAATGGTGCAGTCCTTGTGTCGATCAAGGAAATTCTGATGCTTGTTTTAAGGTACATGAGAAATGCACGTGAGCCATAGGAATGCACAGAATTTTCACAAAGAAACATGGTTCATTCCAAAACCTGTATATTTTCAGAAATACTTTGTGTTGCTCTGGCTCAAGGTTGTACTTAGGCAAGGAAAATCCAAACTGATCTGCAGATATGTGGCAATCATGCTGTATACACAGTCCACTTTTGCCAAACAAAGCAAAGCTTTGGGATTGTGGGAATTTTGTGATGGGTGATTTTTTGAGAAAAAACAGCAGGTTTTTGTTATCCAGTCATAGGCTTGTGACTGTGACTATGTTCTATACCCGTTCACAATGCTATAAATTCCTCTTGAGATTATTTTTCTAAGTTACCTTCAGCTAATGGATACTAAGAACCACACTAAAGTAACGAATAACAAAATTGTAGGAGGGAGGACAGAAGGTCACCTTGACCTGCTGCAGTACTTTTCACAAGAGAAGAATTTTTTTACCAGAAAAAACAGGCTGTACTAATGGTGTAGTTTTGTTATCATAACTGAGTTTAGTCTATAAAATCCACTATAGATATTCTTCAAGATAAAGGACAAGACTCTATTTACATAGTGATGCTTTTGTGGGAAATAGTTAAATAGAGATAACTGTGTTTAAAATAACATTTGAGTTTGTTTTAATATCTGTACCTGCTCCCACAGCCCAGGTAATTCAGAGCCAAGGCTAACCCTCCTTCTTAACTTATCTCTTTCTGCCAAGGTAATGTCTCACTCTGTCTCAAGTGGTCTTGGGCAATTTCACAGCTAAAGAACAGAGTTAATTACAGGACCTTCCTGAAGGATGTCAAGTCAGAGGTAGTCCTTGTACTGGTTTTAATTCACACTTTAAACTGTATAAATCCCTTGCAGCCAGAAAGAAAGTGAGACTTAGGGGTTTTCTTAACTGACAAAACATACTGTAAGTCCAAATTTGATGGGAAAGGGGGGCTAAATCTATCTGTCTCTACTGTGCTCTTGTTCATAATTACATTTCATTTTTTTAGTGTGAGTCAGGAGTATAGCTAACCTAATTGCGACAGTTCAAAGTGGAAACAGCATACGTTTTTGTTTTAATCCTTTTCAAAAGGAAAGCAAGTTTAAAAGGAAACATTATAGACTAATACTTGAGGTCTGCAGAACAAAGCACTTATTTTTCCAGTTGTTGTGCTGTTCTCTGTCATTCAGCAAAACACACACATTTTCCCTAGTGAATAGATTGAGAATGTAGAAACCTCTGAGTTTGTGACCTTGTTTCCAGAATTCCCCACTATAAACATCTGAAGTACTTTTCACCTGCTGCTAAGTGTTCAGTCTTAAGTTTGAAAATTGAAATATCTGTGTTGGTAAGATAACAACAATACTTGATGCTTGAAATAATAGTGAAATTGTTCTAGTTGTAACATTGGCATGTATAACTTTACAAATCACAGCCGAAATAAATTACAGTCAGGATACTGCAAAATTTTCAATCCAAACTGCTACTGTGATACCTTCCCCAAAATGTCCACAGTTTATTGAATATTTGATACTAAGGAAATAAAGCTACTATCATCCTTACTACTAAATTTATTATAAGCAATTATTTAAAGATCACTTTTCAGGAATACAGCATAATATTTTTCCAGCTTGACTGTGAACTTCTTGGATAACCATTGAAAGAGAAAACAGACCGTTTATCCTGACAACAGAATTTACACAAGAGCCAACATATTTAATATTAAATCTTTAGACCAGTGTAACGTTTGAAACAATTAAACTATGAAACCATGAAAAATGGGAGCTAATATGCCACACATGAAGGTTTATTTTGCAATTGCAAGTTATCAGTTTCGGAAGGATGTGAAAATAAACATCCTGAAAAGGATCTATTTTGCATTTTTGTGTTGCCAACTGGTGGCCAGACAGTAGAGCAGACTTAACCATTTAGCAGCTGAGCTTGTTCTGTGTAAATTTCGCATTCTGTTGTATGCAAAAACAGAAAGTGTGACCTTGGAGGTCTGATTGGATAGTAGGAACTCACCAAGCATAAACCCTGGTGCCTGAGTTAGAAGGAACAGTGTTCAATTTATCTCATTTTTACAGCATTCTTACTAGTTGCTACTTGAGCTAATGTATCTGGATTGTTTCCAATTCTTTTTTCAAATCCTTTAAGAAGCTCTTTGTCCCCGTTACTTCTCCCTTTCTCTCTGACTTAAACAAAATGCAAAATCTTACTTTTTTTTTTTTAATTGAAATCATTAGCCTCTAATGCATGAGCTTTTGGGATGTGTGTATAGCCCTCTAAGCTGGTCAAGTTGTAAAAGTCTGCTACTATCTTCCACACTGGTGGACTGAGCACAAGGAGACGGCGTACACAAGGATTTTTACCTTGGACATTGTTCGAGTTGCCACCCCTGGGGCAGAAGCCTGTCTGTCAGGCTGTTTCCTGGGGCACTGGAACTTATAAGTATTAGCATCTCCATCAGGTAGGTACTGCATGGAGACATTTAACCTCTGCAGTCTAGAAGGAAAGGAAAAGGTCCTTTCATGTTCTATTTCTTTTAATCATTTCCCTGCACTCTTCAACACCTTTGTCTTGCAGATCACCCCACAAAGGCCCTTCTGGGATATTCCTAGGTCAAGTTGAGAGAATGAGTCTATTGCATCTTATATGGAAATGAGAGAATCTGGGGATACTTTAGAGGATGATGAGGGGCTAGGAATGGCCTTTATGTATCATCAGGGCAGTTTGGGATGTGAAGGGAAGATGACTCCCCCTCCTCTGTACAGTTTGTGGGGGAGGATAGAGACAAGTGGCCAAGTTACAGATTTTCTTTTTCAAAATATTCTGCTTAAAGGCTTTTAGCCATCCTGCAGTTCCAAACACTTCTTAGGACAAGTAATCTCTATTTCAGCTGAGCCAAGGAAGAAACCTTTCTTGCCCCCCATATTTCCCAAAGAAAATTTGTGTTAACCCTTGGGGCCCATCATCATCCTGTGTAAAAACAGAGTACATGTAATGTCAAGAGCAGAATATTATTTTAACAATATTATTTTAACAAGGCCATGTTTTAAGAAGTAGCAAAAATCTTGCATGAGTCATGGTTCTAGGTACTCATTGACCAAAACCTTCATCTCATAAATACAATCCTGGCCTCTCTGGCTGCAGATAAATTACAGTTCCTTCAAGTTAAAGCAATCATGGGTTGAGTCTCAGAGATAGGATGTTACTCTTGAAAGAATGGTATCTAGGAGAGCGCTGCTTTGATGATGTTTGAGGAACAATGAATCTCCATTGCAAGGAGTTCTGGAAAACACCAGCTTCCTTGAAACTTTATGGTGGAGTCCTAGTCCCATATGCATGTGCCATGTATCACCACCAGCAAAATTTTTATTTTCAAGTTGGCAAAATTTTAGATTTAGGTTGATAATCTTTGTGCCAAGTTGCATTTTAATGAAAGTAAAATGAACAAAATAATAAATGCAATTCTCTCCTCCCACCCCCACAAAAATCACCATGGAGGAGAGTTAATGGAAACCCTGACACTTAACTATAACTGCACTTCCAGGCGCCACTGTAATAATGGAGTAGTAAACCTTGTCCTGATAAAAGCTGTTCTGAAAGCAACAGCATTTATTGTACCTCCTCTGCTATTTGCAGAGCAGAACTGAAAAGTAGTTTGTTTTGCCTGGAATGAACTACTTTATGAATTTTAATGTACAATGTAATATTAAAAGCTAAACCAGGATTAAAGAAGATTTTTGTTCCCAAGCTAAAACAGTAGTTATGAGAATGTGTTATATAAGATTTTTTTGTTTCAGTTTCGATGGGGAAGGAATGAGGTTCCATGTTTGTGAAAACCTCTTCATGCTGGTTATTCCTTTTATGACAACTTTCCCTTTTTTTAGGAAAACTGAATTAATCCAGAACTTCTTGCTGCTGTAATCAGTCTTATTTGATGAGAAGATATATCTGGGTAGGCCAGGAGGAGATGGATATGTTATTTTTTTTCAAGTATTCTTAGAAGACTAGATTGATTCGTGATAGGAAGATAGCCAAATGAATTCCTGATTCTCAGTGTGTTGCATTTGTAAAACAATGTTCCCCTCTTCAGTTAGTATTTCCAGTATTTGGTTACTGTCAAAAATAAAATAAAAAATTAGCTGATCTATGGTTTCTTTCCTAAACAGAAAATGTGGCTGTAGGTGTGGGTGGGGTGGGAGGTTGTGCTTAAGCGTAGATGAGATGAGAGATTATGTTTTGTTTTGTTTTTCTCTCCAAAATGAATACTTTTTCCACCTCCTCTCCCAAGTCCTGAAGTTGCACCATTGAGAGCTTTTTTGTTTTCTGTTGGGTTTTTTTGAGGAGGAGGGTGTTTTTTCAACCCAGCTTCAAACAGCCTCTCTCTTGAACTCAATTCTAAATTCAACACAACAGCCTAGATGCTGCTTATGTATAAATTATGAAACAGTTATATGTATGGATATTCTCCAAGAGGTTAATTGACATTATTGCATGGAATTCATCAGACCAGAGCAGGCCAATAGTCAATCTAGACCAGCCAGAGTCTACACCTATCTTTGAAGAGAAATTATTAAGACACAGGAAAAGAATTTTTATACTTGGCCAATGAAGTGAATTGGAAAGGGAGAGGGTACAACTGGGAATCACAACTCTTGGTAATCCCCAGACCATCATTTTATAACTTCAAGACTTTATTCCCCTGAAGATCTTTGGGCTAATACTGCTTTTTGATGCAGATATTAGTGTTTTCTGAATTCAGTTAGTGTTCCCTGATTAAATATCAACAGAAGACAATAGGAGTTTGTTTGTTTGTTTTAACTTTGATGACATATTAGATGCTGTTGAATTTATTGTACCTGTATAAAGATAGATGTGATTTGCAAACCAGAATGAGGATTTTCAGTAATTCCCTTGGGTTAAATGCATATCCATATTAAATTGGACATTGAGAAGTGTGGACCGAGTAGCATAGTTTAAATTATGTCTACAGCATGGTGTGTGATGGCTTTTGATGGTCTGTGTGTTCACAGCTCAGTTAAGCGATCTGTGAAGTACTGCTACAACATGAAGCTGTCCTTTGAAGCTCAGTAGCAATCAAAAAGGCAGTGTGCTTACAGAAGAGACACATTTTGATCAAGATCACAAGAGCAAAGTGTTTCCTTCCCAAAAACTTGTGTATGCTAGCTGAATACCTTCATCTTCTCATCTTCCCCTTGGGTCCTTCAAAGACTAGTTACAAGTTTAAATTATTTTGGGGGGAAGGATTGAAATTTGTTTCCCAAAATTTAAACCCAAGGTTCAAGAAGGCGTCTTGACAAAGCCATCACTTTTTCATTCTCTAATCTAGCTTAGGCTGATTTTTACATTCACAGAGATAAGTCTGTCTTCAGTTGTATTTTAACATCCCCACCACTTGTCAGTTATCTTCTGGCACATCCTTCTTACTTAAAGGTTATAAAATTGCCACTAATTTTGTATTTTTAAATTATTTCACTGTATGATCTTCAGGAGATGCACCTGCTCTTGCAGCCCTGTACTGATTTGTCTGGTGTGAGGCATACCTTTTCCTGCTCTGCAGTGGGAAGGAGAGAGTTTTGTGGTGCTGATCCTCCCTCCCTGCTGCCAGGTGCCTCAAATGTTTCTGAGCAACCTTTGGTCCAGGCTTGGCCATCCTCTTGTGCAATGTGGCTGGTAAAATGTCACACTACAGAAAAGGGCATGACTGCAAAGTACTAATTGTTTTCAGATGAAAAAAAAAAAAATCATATTATTAACTGTATGCCACATTCTGGGATTTTTCTCCATTTCCATTTTTACTTAGAACCCTTGTGCTAATGCCTGCCAGAATGGGGGCAAGGAAATGCTTGTGGACAACTTGTTCTTCTGAAGTTTTGCCCCTTGTAGTTAATGGGCATGTGTTAGCACAGTTCCTGAAAAGTCTTATGGACAAATCATGTTCAGCAAAAGTGGCATGCACTCTCAGTTTCTGGGCTAGATTATTTTATATTAAAAGCACTATGGATGATACCTAACACAAACTGAGGATGGCATTTCTAGGAAAAAATGGACTGCTGATTTGCCTAAGTCCATGTCTCATCCAAACCCTTTGATTCCCATATTGTGAGACCTGTGACATATGAAAGCTCATAGAGAGTGAGATTAGAAGATGAATTATCATGTTGTCATGATTTCCTTTTGAACCTCAAGGGACTTCAGAGCACAGGAAGATGCTGACTTGCACTGGATCAAACTGATAGTGAAAGTGTGGGTTTAGACACGTACTTAAGAGTAGGCTGAATCACCTGGAAGTGCCAGGCTCTGTCCATTAGACCTAGAATTAGGCTGAATGACTGTCTTAAACTAGCTGTGTAACTTCAGAATAACCAAATTAATTCAGCTCTCAATAACCTCTGTATGAGTCAGTATGTTTGAATTGAAATCTTAAGGTTTGATTTTGTTTGCATCATCACCTTGTGGGTTCTCGGCAGAAATCCAGTTTTCCTTTCCTCTGATCCACTTTAGGATTAGTGGCCCATTAGGTCCACTAATCTTGAGCAAGCCTTGCAAGAGTAACTGCTAAAGACAGACGTTATCCTTAACTACTGAGAATATTGTAGGATAAGCTGAGTACCTGCTGATTTTTTGTACCTCTCAACTGATATTGCAGAAACTGCAGTCTAACCTTGGTGAGATGATGCTTGGTGTTGAAACATCACTTCCATCATTTCCAGAGGATGAAGGAAAGGATAGTCTCCTGCACATCATGTCGCTACTGATGTATTTTTTTGTTGTTTTCCTTAATGCTGCAGATGCAGCATAAAGGTGGTACTGTAATCACTCTGTCTTGTTTACATGTTTGGTGTTTATTTAATCTGGATTGCAAGAAGAATAAATATTTGGTGTATGTAAGTGAAATACAACTAGAATGAGTAGCTTTAAGAAAGTCTTATCTTGGTTTCATGAAGGAGTGGTTTAAGTATGCATTATTCTAAACTGTCTCTCAAAAACAGCTTAAGAACCAAACTGATAAAATAAATTTTTAAAAATTCAATCTAAAGCCACAACTTTTCAAAATTATAATGCATTAGAGTGTACTGGGCATAAGACATTAATCAAGATATATCTGTCAGATTTCTATTTCATTAGAGATTCTTTTATGTTGCACTTAAAATTTTTATTTAATTTGTGTGGGGCAAAGAAATCATGTAAGGGTTCACAAGTCTCTACAAGACTGTTTGACAGATTTCCACCTAATTTATGACATTGAAATTTGCAGTGGTCTGTTAATGGTAACTCGAATTTCAGATGCACCTGTTACAATGCACTGAATTTTCCTGTTTCCCAGTTGCTGGAACCATAGATAACTTACAATGTTTATTCTGCAAAATGCTCAAAGAGTATCAGAGAAAGATTGGATAAAAGGAATAAAATGAAAAGGGGAACTACTTAGGGAGGGAAAAAGAGGAAAATAACTTTTTCATAATGAAAAATGTCTCATATTTTCTAGGTCAAAACTGCTACTATTGCTACAGAGAGGAATGGAAAACCAGAAAACAATTCCATGAACATTAATGCTTCCATTTATGATGAGATTCAGCAGGAAATGAAGAGAGCTAAGGTGTCCCAAGCACTGTTTGCGAAGGTTGCGGCAACCAAAAGCCAGGTAAAATTCCCAGGGCTCAAAGAGCTCCACGTCCTGTGCAATTATTTCCCAGATCAGTTTCTGTGTGAGTTTAAATGTGTAGCTGGGTCAGGGTATCAGCCCAGTACAACTCAGAGCTCCTTGCTGAGTCTGGAGGTAACCTCTGGTTCCCCAGAGAGGGTAGAGAAGCAGCTTCCTGAGATGTCTCACTCCCTTTTCCCCACCAGCCAGACACCTTCCCTCTGTGCCTATGGATCTTGGTGTGGCTCAGAAGGGATCAGGTTCATCAGTTTTTAGCTGATGTGAATATGGGAAAAGCTGTGGTCCAGATCTGGGTATTGCTGCCAAATTCATCTTGAGGCTTTGGTGTTTTGCAATTGCATGTGCTGCAATGAGGAACGCTGGGGTGCTGGCTTTTTGCAAAAAAAATTTAGTCAGACCCACTGGTGAGACTGGCATGAGAGGTGGACTGTCAAAAACAGAAAAAAAAAAGAAAACCAACAAAAAAAGGACATAAAAAAATTACAGTTGTGCAAGTTATAGCTGAGAAAAAAAGTATAATTTTGTCAAACACAATGTCTGCTTGGTTACCTGCTTGCATGCATACAAATATGTTGCATATTCAGTTTTAAGCCTTTGTTTTGTGGTTTCCTATTCTGTTTTCTTTAACTGAAGATTTTCTGTCAAGTTTAGTGGCAAGAGGGAAATCAGTGGGCACTTGTTGGGTGTGATTATCATAAATGACATGTCTTCTGAGAAAGATCACTGGAGTATGTGAATGCATTGATTTAAGTGAGAATGTGCTCAAGAAGTAAAGGCAAAACATAAAGAAAAATGAGAAAGGTATAGTTATACAAATGCTTGAAAGAAATCAGATGTTGAATTTTCATATTAGATTAAGTGTTAAATACATTTAATCACTACTTCTTTATTTTTCTAAAATTATTTCATAGAAAAATTCAGCATCTTCCAGGGAAAGCTAGTGAAGCTCAGTTGGACTGATGTGTCTTGGGCCATCAGCATTTTAGTGCTGGTTTTCTTTTTAACGAGGCTTTAACTTTTGACTTCTGTGCTGTTCACATTTTGGAGTTCACTTCATTGTACAGAAAGGATGTTGTCTCTTAAGTTATATGGTGTAAGGAGCATTTAAAGGGATATTTTGGAAATGTTGTATCAAAATGATTAAACTCAAGCTGTGGACTGTAAAAATTATAGCTTTATAGGCCACATGCCTGCCTACCCTTCAATCACTGTCAAAGTGATAATTTCAACAATAATATGTTTCTTTTATTGTGGGATTCTAAACACCAAGTGCTGTTTAAACATTAAACTGAATTGTTTATGTTAGTGCTGTACTCAGTGTGTCATACATCAGGCCACTATAATCTCCCATGGAATGTAAAAATTCTGTCATGAATCATGGCTTGTATATCGGAAATTACTGTAATTTTGATTGGAAATTACAGAGCTCTTGAAATGTTTCTAATTATGATAGAATGTTACAGCAGCTTCCAACCTGTGTGCTCCTCAGATGTCTTTATTTACATGTCAAAACTTGGGGTTAGAGAACTGTCCGTTTTCTGCACCTTCCCCTTTCCACTGCATTCTTCTGTAAAGCTAAGGTATTAAGCCAGTCTATCAGCCCACATAATTTTGTTCTGATCTGATTTGTGCAATAGTGTATTTACTAAAGTGCGAAGCCTTAAAATTTCTAGGGTGATCAGCTCTTTCGGTGCTGACTTTTAGAGGGAGAGGCAATCAAAATGAAGCCTGAAAGCCTCCAGAGGACCACAGGTTTAGTTGAGCATTGGTATAAAATCTAGATTCTTGTACAAACTTTGCTACTAAGTACAGAAAACAACACCAAACACATAGTTCTTTTCTACTTTACTCTGGTGATTATACCTGTGCTCTCAGGGGTTATTTTTCCCACCAATTTCAGCAATCTTAATTTATGTGTCTAGCATGCTTTCAGGTCTGTAGTTAAATGAAGTGTTATTTGTACTAGAAAGCTGCTTTGCAGAAGTAACCTCCTAGGTGGACTAGGATGTGCTGGGTCTTCTCAAACTAGCTGACTGTTAGTAACCAATTAATAATCTTTCAATATGTAGCACTGCCATCTATACTAAAGGAGGTGCATGTACTGTAAAAGATTCTTCATTGGAGCTCTTCAGTGGTACAAGTAAACATTTCTTGGGGCAAAAAAGTCTCCCTTGCACAAAAAAGAGGCTTGTTCAAACATATTCTCTAAGAGAACCTCTCTTGAGAGAGATCTCTTTCTGATATTTTTTTCAGTTTGGAGATACTGGTTCCATACTCAGAACTGGAAATCCTGAGATAACCCAAGTTGTAGTAAAAAGTCTGAAGGACTCATATTAGAAAATGATGTGTTGATTAACATTTTTGTTTTTAAAAATTGCTAAAATTGAACATTATTGATTTTATCTTATTTTGGATATAAGGACTTAATTAATTTTGGAGTGCAGTCTGGAGTTGTGCTGTAAAACCATATGTGACGTAAACCAGCTCTGTGAGGGGACAAAGGCCTAGAAGGCCTTGCCTTTTTTTTTCCTAATAAACTGATTTGGGGCAACATTAGATTGGATGAATAAGGAGCCAGCATCTGCAAGGTGCTGGGCTTGCCTGAGCCAGGAGACTGCAGATAATGTTCTGCTGACTAGAGCACTTTGTACAAAATTGCTACTAAATGATGTGTTACAGGAGTTTCTATTTGGGTAGCACCAAGGTAAAAAACAAGCATCTTCCCTTGCACTGTGTTAGTGCCTTTGGCAAGAGTGGAACTGGAAATCCTGGGATAATCACTTAATTACAATGAAAAGTCTGGAGGAAACACATTAGAAAATAATGTGTTGATTAACAGTTTTATTTTTAAATCCTCCTGAGTTGTGGAGGACCAACCGCATGTGGACCTGACGCTCAACAAAGCAGCTGGGTGCTGGGGCCTGCTGTGGCAGAGATCCTGGGATCAGGCAGAGGTTGCTGTGCTGTTAAGAGAGTTCATTTTCTGACTCAGGTGGGGGATGATTTGCCTGCTTGAAGTTTCATGGTGCACTTTGCTGGCAGCTTGTTAGTGTTCCCAAAGGAAAGGGCCTATCTGGTACATGGGTTTGGGGACACAGCTAGGACATTCCTTCCATTGCTGAATGCTTTTCCCACACAGGAATGCATACATTCGGTATATTTTTTAAGTGTCTATGTTTTTAAGGATTGATATATTATCTACAGAATAATTTAAAAATCTGTTAAATTCAAAATATATACTTCAAAAGTTAATATGATTATACTGAGGAGCTAAGAAGGATATTACAATTCAAATTCCTGGAATACATCATATCTTTGGAGAGTTTTAGAATTTTAATTGGCAAAGCACGTAATGTCTGTGTTTAAAATCTTGTGGTTTTATTGTAGGTTGTCTTTCTAATAGGCCTGCATGGGTTTTTTGTTAGATTATGTCAAAAAGAAAGCTTTGCAAAAATGCACACAAAAGGAAGACAGAAAGGTTTACCAAGTGTTTTGTCTCTTCTCGCAGGTTGTTGATTCTTAATGGCAGAGTGGCAATGCCAACAGTATTATTTGCTAAAATTTAATCAGCACACCTGAATAACTCTAAATTAAAAGAATCCACACGTAAAATTTTGTGGCGTATGTTAGTTTTACAATTTCATCATATTGGATTTTTATTAAATTTGTAACCTGAAAGTCTGATTCAACTACTTAAGGAAGCACATTCCTAATTTTGTTATTAAAAAAAAAGAAAAAAAAGTTGATTTGTATAATGATCATTAAGGTATCATGGTTCAGTAACTCTGCAGTGGTTACGATGTTCTCATGTGGGAGCCAGGGATGAGTTTTTCTTGGTGGTGACAGATGCTGAAATCTAATTTTATTCCATAAAAACAGATAAACAAGCAAACAAAACCCCCATACCTAAGAGCCCTGAGAGATAAGGCAGGTAGAGACTTGTAGTGTTTCTGTATGTTTGCTATGTTTTGAGAAGTTAGATTTATGTTATGGCTTATCCTGAAAAGCTGTGACTCACATGTGCTAGTATGAAGCAGGGAAGAAAGCAATACTTTGCTGAAAATCCAGTTAAATTGCTAAAGCTTTCTTAAATTTAGGAAATTACAGTTTGCAAAAACTGCAGTAATATCAAGCTCCATACCTCTGAGAGTCCCATGCACTACAGTTTCAGGCCACTAGCCTGCTTTATTTACCTAAAGAAGTTTAATTTTTAGTGAAATAAATGGGTGAAATCAATACTCTTCTGCAGTCAATCCTGCAATCCTGGCTCGTTATGGCCCCTTAGGTGCCGAATGCCTCCCTTCTCACCAAATGAAAATGCCTGTATGTGGAGGGTGAGACTCTTGGTTCGCACAGAATCATGCTTTGATTTTAAAATAATTCTAATGGAGTACTACCGTACCTCCAGAAACCTCATTTAATGACATGGTTCTGACCTGTTACTTCTGAGCTGTTGTGTTGCCCAGTTTCCTGTTCTTCATCCCCGTCTTTCACTTTGGTTAGTAGTAGTTTCACATACAAAGTGTGGAGGTAAAATAATGGTTTTCAGAACATGCTAGAGATTCCATCCTGAGCCATCAGGCAAGTATTTTATACAGTGGCTATTTAATTAGAAGGGGTTGACTTTTTGCCTTTGTATGCACTGGGAGTGTTCTCTTCCAGGAGGCTGCATAGGAGATCCTATGGTTAGGCACTAGGCACAGAGCATCTAGCACTCATGAGTAGATGGGAAGGAGTTAAATGGGAAGGGAATGCTAAACATTGGCACTAAAAATGCTTTTGGCATGCAAATACCATGCTTTTCCTGACATAAATATTTTCAGAATAGGCCATTAGAGTTCAGGTATATAAAACCCTGCTTTTACTGGAAATTTTAATGTTGTAGTAAACCTAGAGATTTATAGTGAAAAATTGATGTCTGTTATCTCACTTTTATCTTTTTAACCAGCAGTTTTATAAATGCTATATCTTTGATCTGG